GCGGCTCAACCTCCGTCCGTCCCGCCGCCATTGGCCGGGCCTCGCGTGCGCCCCGCCCACCTCTGGGCCCCGCCCCTCGAGCGACTGCGGGCGCCCATTGGTGGAGCCGCGTGCCCATCACAGGAAGTCCAACCCCCGCTCGGATGGCGCTCCCTCCTCGAACGCGGCGCAAAGTCTACCCTTCTTTTTTTTTTTAAATTGAAACTCACGAAGGACGGTCCCGCCCATCCCTCTGATTGGCTCGGAGAGGGAAACGCTGTTGTTGTTAGGTGCCAAGGAGTCGATTCCGACTCGCGCGACCCTAAGTACAAGGGAACAGAGCCGTGCTCGGTCCAGCGTCACCCTCACAATTGTTAGGTTCGAGCCCATTGTTGCAAGCCACCGTGTCAATCCATCTCCTCCCAGAGGGTCTTCCCCCTTTTCGCTGACCCTCTACAGGACCAAGCGTGATGTCCTTTTCCCGAAGCTTGGTTTCTCCTGATGACACGTCCAAAGTGCAAGAGTCCAAGTGCATCCTAGCGTCTAGGGAGCATGCTGGCTGTACTTCTAAGGCCGAGCGCGGCGGGAAGCGTTCGGAGCGTTTCTGGTGGATTAGAAGGTGCTTGAAAAAGGTGGCTGCCTGACGTGGGCGCCGCCCTTGCGCTGGGTGGGGTTCTGGCTCCAGGCGCGGTAGCAGAGCTTGCAGCGGGCTGCGCTGGCTGCGGGCAGTGCGCCTACCTTGGCTCTCTCTCCCGTTTCCCCGGTACTCCCTTCCCGAAGTTAGGGGGGCACAGTCCCCTCAGCAACTAGGGTGTTGCGCACAGCCCCGCTTTTTTATGACAAGCTGAAATAATAAATTTGCCACGCCCCCTCTAAAAACAGTCACCTGGTCCTTAGTGGGAATTCACTAAGCTAAACTAGTAGGTACACAACATTTGGGGTGCGGTTTTTTCTTGTTCTGAATCTTCAACATGTTTGTCGGTTTGCTTAATTGTGATTTCTCTTCTTCAGGGTCAGTCTCTCGTTCCCCTGGTAAGAACTACAGATAGATTTGGCAGGGGCTGGCCAATAAAGAAGGGTGTCTGAAGGCAAAGGAGAGGAGGAAATAACCTAAAGAATGTGTGAACAGGCAGGGGTTCTCGGCCTTATTAAAACAGCCAGAACTTTTAAGGCTATAATGAAAATTATAGGCATTTTCCAAAGTGGGAGTCGAGAGGGGAGTGCCCTATCACAAAACACTGAAATCTGTTCACAATTTTAGGTGGTTCCTAAAAAGAAAAAGAAGTCAGGAAAGAAAGAAAAAATCTGGGAAAGGAATAAGTAACATGGGCAAGGGAATGAGGAAGAATGATCAGAGAAGTAGGAGGCAATACTCAACAAGCTATGGAAAACTATTTTGAAGAGAAGCTGATATCTGGACAGAACAGGATGTTCTTTCTAAGCATGGAGAACAGGGTGCATGGAAGTTATTAGGGATGGATTCTTTGAGGGACCGAAGGGTGGGTGATGGATGACACTTAAGTACACCAGAAGACATGGCAAGGACCAGAGAACAGATACTAAAGAATTAGGAGAGATGGGAAGATAAACGATGATTTGAATCCAATATCTCATTCTATTTCCATTTTCAGTAAAGAGCATGACCTAATACCACAAGAACACAGCACATTTTACAGAAAATGGCACCGATTTCATTTATTTTTCTCAAGTCCTAAGTTTAGAATATGAAGATAACAATAATAATTAAATTGATTCTTGTTGTACATATCTTAGTATCCTCAGATGTCCTCTTGAATGGTTTACTCCGTCACTATATAGTCAACAACAACCATCTTACCTCACAGATAGTAATATGCATATATTCTAAATCATTAATAGGCTTTAAATGTACAGTCTTTCCTTAAATGGCTAATTTATGCAAATGGTCAATGATGTATTTGACGCCAACTTGTCCTTGGGGAACAATCCACATGATGATCAGAAGGTTGCAAACACATCCTAGTTACTATTGGTCTTAAAGATTTCTCAAACTTTTCCATGTGGTCATCCCACTTTCTTTTCCTCCTTTTTTTTCTTCATACAGAAGAGAAAGAGAAATTTTATTATAAAGAATGATCTTAAGATCCATCGATGTTAAATAATGAGTGTCTTTCATAAGAAGTAAGAAGGCCCCTTAGGGAATCTTCCACAAGTTCTAGAGACTGGCCAGAGTTTCTTCCAAGACAGATCTCTTTTTTGA